CGAAATTTTTTTGGCGAAGGGGGGGGGGGGGTCGCCGAAATAATTTTTCCGGAAAAAATTTTTTCGGTACTAGTCAGACACAATCCCGAAAAGTCGGGCAAATTTCTTTTCGACCCCCTAATTTTTTCCTTCCGGTGTCATCCACATCCCCAATCTCACTCTTAACTTCTCTGCAAAGTTGAGAGGTCTGACATATCTTTAAGTAACAGTAATTTGACACGCTTGGAAGCCCGCCATTGAAAATTTATGCAAATGTTTTTGACATTAAATTATAATATATGCACACTGGCTACGTCATCGGTATGGAATTTTCACAGTTAAATCGCAGACGTCTCCCTCGGGCGCTACATTTCGCCCGATGTGAGGCGTCTGTATTCGCAGGCTATAGCAAATGCTACAGTCAGATTTTCGTGCAAAAATATTTTTAATACTGAATGTGTTGATAGTAAAAATTCCTTATAGAAGTTTTCCAGTTTCTCTATCTCAAAAAAATTAACTTCCGCAGCTTCGACCAGATGTCCGTACGTTTCTTGTGAGCAGCAAATATTAAGTTACGTTTTTACGCGCTTATCTTAACCTGATTTTTACCCGAAACAACGCCCGCTTTTAGGGAAAATCACCTAAACTTTTTAAACATCGTTCAAAAAGCGTTCAGAAAAGTGGTCTAAATATAGCGATTTATGACGTCAAAATGCTACAGTGAACTGGGGGTCTTACGTCAAAATGCTACAGTCAGCGGGGGGACGAGTTACTAAATTTAGCATTTTTGCTACAGTCAGATGAAGCAAACCAATCACAGTGCTGCAATGCGCTACAGTCAGCTACAGTTGCGCAATTCGATAGGAACTTTAGAGCGATGTTATTTGGCTACATTTGTTTGCGCTTTTACCGAGCCAATTTCTTTCGAAGAAAAACTAAGTAGACTAAAGCGCTATGTGAGGATGCCATCGGGAGCAAAGTTAAGGCCGATCGCCTGGAAGATCGCGAGGTATTTGTGTGTGATTTTTCGAAATTACAATTCGAAACGGTGAAAGAGCGCGCTCGTTGAACCACGTTCGGGTCAGGTAAGCTTATGAATATTAGAATATATTAATAAACAGAATATAAATGTAAACGCTCCGTGCCAGTGGTTGGAAATTGCGCGCCGGAGATTTCGAAAATTTAATAGTAAATATATAGAAAGCATCAAAATTGCGCGTCCGATATTTCCGCCGCGCGATACAAACTTTCCACACTGGTAAATGATAACAACACAAAGCTTCGGATTGAGAGATAGGGTACGTTTTATACTGAATTACTGTAACTCAAAAATACAAGCAAAACATCGAAATTTGGCTTGTATATTTAAGTGGTTGAATCTCTGTTAATCCGAAGGTTTCTTTCAGTATATAAATGTGTCTGTTTGCGTTATATATCGTTCTGCCCATTGATTTTATGCATTGATTGTAATTGTGTTTATATATGTTACACATGTGCGGTATGATATTAAATTACATATTAATATGGGGAGGAAGGCTGGTCTTAAACTTGCATACAGTAATTAAGAATGTAGATCTGGTATGATTTGGTATGTCGTTTAACCATTTTACTGTCTTTACGTGTTTTTGTAACTTTTTGTCTAAAATATGGCCTTATTAAGATCAAATTTTAGAACAGAATTCGATGCTCAGAATGCAGGAAATGGTGTTTCCGGGCTTCAAATTTCAAAAATTTTCCAGGGGGGCATGCCCCCGGACCCCCTAGATTATGTGGTGCCTCCCCAGTTTGGGATTATGCTACAGTCAGATTTTTAGCTGGATCCGCCCCTGGCGGTTGAATTTTCTTTTCTTGACGAAAATACAGTAGAGACATTTGTATATTTACGATGTATACTGTACTCTAAAAATCACGATGCCGATATATAAAATCAGTCAATACTCAATAGACACAATACTCAATAGTCAATATTCAATAACAATGTCATGTGTGTTTTACTATAGTTTATATAGACTGTAAAAGCTTGGATATTTTTATAACGAACGGTAAAATAAGACCACTGACTGGCACTGTGTATATTTATTTATTTTATCAGTATTGCAACGCTTTCGATCTGGGAGGGAAACACAATGATAATACAGTATAAACAATAAACATTGTTGCCAATTTCATATCTGTATAATAAAACTAAGGATTTTA